ACGGCTATAGTAAAAAATGCAAACTGATTTTGAATTGTATAACGGTCACCGGCCCACGGCATCGACGCAGAAAATTGGAGCAAAAAAATATTTCCTGATCAATACTATTGCGATGTGTTCCAATAAAAAATATTTTATTCCAGTCCAAATCAGCTCAATTACTTTAATAAAGATTTATTGTATAATGTACAAAATGATGATACAATTTGATGAATATTTACAGCTACGGTTTCAATACCGTAGACGATGTTGGCCCGATCTTCAACAAAACATCACCCGTCTCCAGGGCAGGCGACTGGAAAAAGACACTGATGTTCGGTCGAAACGGCGGAAACAAAATCGTCACTCCCAGAATAACTATGCAAAATAACGATCTAAATTCGAACCATTCGAGCCATAATATTAACATAAAAATGACTTTCGTTGCATTTGACAATGATAAACTTACTGAAAAGCCGTGTTATTCTCGGTCGCTAACGTCGGTATAATCCGCCATTTTATTTGAGTGTGTTTGCCACCCGACTCCGCCCGGTGACGTCATCATGTGCGCTATAGAAGGAGGTCTGTGATTCGTTGACTAAAATCGTCGATAGTGGGTCTCGTTAAAATCTCGTTACATAGGCATCGGCTCAGATGTAGGTAGGGCGGAATTAAAAAAATCACAAAATCAAAATCAAAGTAAAATAATAAAATAAAATAAAATAAAAGGGCATTAATAACAAAAGTAATGAAAAATAAACTTAAAATAAGTCTATATCCAAAATAATTAAAGCCCGTACACTACATCAGATTTTAATCAGATTGTGGTAATATCAGACTGAAAGAACCTTTTATTCAACATTAATATTGCGATTTCACATATATCAAGTGATTCGTTATATCCATCCTTATTGTGGCACCATGTTATACCTCTGTATATTTCTGAAAAGAAAATACACATCATACTCAACTAGACTGAAATACAGTCAGATTATTATGACAGGGACCATGAAGAAAATTTGTGAAAGCCTCAATCACTTGGAAAAATATACTGCGAGTAATAATTGCGTATAATAAATTACAAATTAACTGTATAATAATTAGCCACTGCAATTATTGTTTAATTAACGAAATACCCGATTGTGATTTCGCATTGGAATTGTGCACGAAGAAGGATGGGCAAATCAACGCGCACGCATACTAACCGATTGAATACATTGATTTCTAAATTAGCTACAAAGGCTTGCAAAAATGACGACGATACAAGTTTAATATAAACTCATAATATTTCAATTTCACGAGGGACCGGACACCTTACAATCAGATTATTTTGTGTATGGCTATGCAATGGCATTTTCTCTTTCCATATAAAAATGCTGAATTTGGAACCCCATCTGGTGGCACATATGTGTATATCTTTTCAACGGGAGTACCCCCTAGAGGCCGAACAAATCCAGTGACGTTAACGACTCAGTCACGTTGTGATTGGAGTTTGACTGGAAACACAAGCTAAGGTAACGAGGGTGATTGTGACCAGTCGTAAGCGTGAACAGTGTGACCGGTTTGTCTACGTTCTTTACACACCTTCAACGTGTCTTTTTCACTTCTCGGTATATATTCTGTCTTATTATTTCCAATCACAGCCAACTGTTGTCTATTGTGGTTAGACCTATATATTGTTGGTACAAGACATTTCAGAGCTCTAGAAAATATCTGCCATTGAAATTGGAAAATAATGATATTATACATTACTAAACAAAAAAAGCCCTAGTCTATGTACCTTTTTACTGACAATCTTGTCGCTCCCAGTGGTGGCCGCAAATGACGTAGAACACGCTTTGTAAACTGACCCACACACAATACAATCACTCTCATTTGCACTTCTCAAGTTTGACAAAATCCTGTATATACATATACATGTAAAAACAGAATTTCAGTAAAAGGAGACGAACTAGCTTGCAGTGTATATACTGTGTAGATTGATGTATACTTATGGTGAAAAATAAATTCTAATTTATTCATATTAACGATTACAGTCATATTCGATCATCTATTCATTATAAGATATACATGTAATAGCGTTTTAAACGTGTTTTGCAAGTGTTGTTTTAACTTTAAAGCAATTGGTACAAACGCGAGACCGTGTTCGACGAAATGCTACTTTAAGAGTATCACCCCCTGTAAAGCAGCGAATTTTCGAAAAAGCATTTACCAACGCGTTGAGATTGGTGTAAAATAGTTGATGTTATATGCGATAGTACCTACCAATAACTATAAAATGCCATCTTCCAGCTTTCATAAGAGATGAAACGCCCATTTTTTCCGGATTTTGGCTCCCGTATTTACATTCGTAGTGACCGCTATTGTATTTGAAATCAGGGTAACCTTTTGACCCGAGCCCTTTCTACCAATGAGCGTTCGATGGGCGGAGCTTGTCAGGAGTAGTTGTGTTTTTCACGCTGCGACGCTCGATAGCGCCAGAAATTATCATTTTTTTGCGAATTTACAGACAAATTATTACAAACGTATGACAAAATTGGATAAATAAGAGTCTGATAGTCAAGTGGATTGCTTTTTTGGTGAGTGTAGTGTGCGAGTTTATTCACAAACCAGCCGTATTCGTTTGGTGTACAGCGATTCCAAGTGCGTACGTTTCATACCCTGTCTTTATTTCTATACTAGTATATAACCCTACCCAAGCCTATCTCCCTTAACCATAAATCCTGTTGCAAGCGCCCGTGTGTCAGTGCGTAGCAACGTGTCTTGCGAAACAAATTTTAGTGCCATGGTTTCCGTGGGGTTTCAGTAATGTCTGCAACGGCCTTGATAATATTGAGCGGGGGGTTTACAAAACATAATACGTCCAGCAAATCAAGGCACGGACTTTGTGAAGCCGTGTTCGTCCTGCACTGCTCCTGCGTATTATCAATTATGCCCGGGCTGTAAAGAGCGCCCTCGCATTCATAGTAGTAAACATATGTGTCGTTGCCTCGTTATCACGCGATTACATACCGAAAATAAGTTGGGAATTTCCCAGGCAAAACCACAGTTTTGTTGTACCACAGGCTTGTCGTTTCTACTTGTGGTGACTTCGTTTACCTATATAAATTGTGACAGCTATCACGATGGGGTAAGATTATGTCTTTATCTGAATATTTCTTGACGCAATGATCCCGGGACCCGCCGTAGGCGGCAGTATTTTCATGCGAGGTCAATTTTGAATCAATTTTGGGTGCCAGAAATCATCCAAAGACGCCTATTTGGGTATTATTTTTTTTTTTGTAACTTATTTATTTTCTTGGGCTTACAATACATTTCATGAATACACATTTAAAAGACACTTCAAGTAATCCGTATGAAGATGTTACTTTAAATATGGTATCAGGGAAGACCACTTCTTTTTGTGTGACGTTTCTTTCTCTTTTTGTTTGGCGATCGCACTCTCAATTTGAAAATGATGTTTAAGTAAATTAATAAAATTTGCATAGTTAGGTTTCTGTTTTTTCCATTTTGAGTAGTATATGTGGTTTCTGATCAGTGAGCAAACAAAGTTCACCGGCCAATCGTACTCCGGGTCCCCGAGTATCACACAAAGTTTACCAGGTACTTCTGTAATTTTCAGTGGTCTTCCCAGTTCCTTGATAACATCATGCCAGAGGGATTCAGTAAATTTACATGTCATAAAAAGGTGTTCATATGTTTCACTATATTCGTTACAGAAAGTACATTGGTATTCAGGGAAGCGTTCTGGATTTACTTTGTGTAAATGGTCATTTGTATACAGTATGTTATGTAATAACTTGAAATGAAATTCTCTGGATTTTGTGTCAATTGATAACCTTGTAATCATTTTATACATTTTCTTCCATTCAATTTCCAGATTAAGTTTTCTCTCTAAAGAACATTCACTTATTGGTTTCACAAAAATTTTGCTGATGAATTCTGTTTTAAGCATATTTTTGGTCAAGTCTTCCAACAAAATTTGCTTGTTTTTTATAACGATAGTTGTTTCCCTATTTTCTAGTACTTTACAATGTTTCAGTTCCTCCGGAACAGTATTGCATATTCCAATCCATTTTAGTTTATCAATAAGCGATAGGCCCTTCTCTTTGTATTCATTCCATGGTTTCAGTATACCATCAATATACAAATCCGAGATAAATCTAATTCCTGAATCATACATGTTTTGGTAAAATATTGATTTTCCGCCTATCAAAATTAATTTGTTGTTCCAGAGAACCTGATCCATGTTGTCTTGCATACCTTTGTTTTCTGCCCATGTATCAAAACAATCTGTCATGAATGCCGAAAATTTCACTGGAAGCAGTCTGGTGGAATAGTTACATTTTAATAACATATCTCCCCCTAGTTTGTTTAATTTTTCTTTCACAAAATATTTCCAAGGGTGATCTGTCTCCTTGCTTATTGTATGTTTTAGCCATAATATTCTTTGTATTTTCTTTGTTACATACAAGTCTACCATTCCTATACCCCCTTTGCCCACCCCGTCTATCATGGTTTTCCTTGCAATACGATCAACTCCTTCCCATATGAAATTATATACTATTTTGTGCACCTCTTTTAAGACACTATTTTTAACATACGTATTTGCCAGAATATAAGTAAACTGGGATAATCCAAACGTTTTGATAATTTGAGTTTTTCCAAATATTGACAGTTTTCTGCTTTTCCACTGATTTAAAACTTTCCTCAAATTATTTAATGGTTTTTCAATGTTTATCTTTTGCATTTCTTCTTTGTCATACGAAAAGTGTACTCCCACAATTTTGATAGGCGAGGTGGGCCATTTGACCCCAAACTTTTCCTCATTTTTGTTTTTCCATTTTCCCAACCAGACTGCCTCAGTTTTATCCCTGTTAATTTTTAACCCCCTACATTCATGGAACTTTTTCAACACCTGCATTAAATTGTCAACTGATTCACTATTGGATAGAAAACATGTCATGTCATCCGCGAATGCAGATTCTTTGACCTCCTTTCCTGCTATGGTGATGCCAGCAGTATTTCTGTTACCCCGTATACTGATGAGCAGGGTTTCCAGTACCAAGATAAAGAGGGCTGGTGACAGTGGGTCCCCTGCCGTACACCTCTTTGGACTGAGAAGTAACTGTGCCGTAGCCATTATTTATTACGCTACTTTCAACATTGGTGTACATTGTTTTTACCCATTTTATAAAACTTTCTCCCAAAGCCCAAAATTGTGCAAGACTTTCAGTAAAAAACTCCAATTAACCATGTCAAAGGCTTTTTCGAAGTCCACTGCCATTAATATGGCTGGCAAATTCTGCTCCTCTGTATAGTTATAGATTTCATCAATTAGCCGAATGTAATCACCTACTTTGCGTTTTTTTACAAACGCAACTTGTGTTGGGCCTATTATTTCCGGTAATACTTTTTCAATTCGCTTTGCTAAGCACTTGGAAGCTAATTTCATGTCTACATTTAATAAAGTTATTGGGCGCCAGTTTTTAAGGAGCCGATGGTCCCTTCCTGGTTTTTCTATTAAGGTTATAATTCCCTGTCGTTGCGAAGGTGAGAATTGTCCCTTTTCAAACGCAAAATTGAGTGAATCAACCACCAATTGTCCCACAGAAGGCCAGAAGGTTTTATAGAAATCCGATGTCAGACCATCGTTACCCGGACTTTTGTTTTTCGGCAGTCTATTTAAGATTGTATGAATTTCCCCTTTAGAGAACAGGCCCTCGCAATGTGCTTTCGACCTTTCATTCAGATTAGGTACCTTGTCATTTAGGAAATCATTTAACATTCGATTTGTTAACTTTTTTTCTTTGTAAAGGTTTTCATAAAAGGTTTTAATTTCACAGTGGATTACCTTTTGATTTTCTATAATTATATCATTTTTCTTAATTTTTTTAATTGATGATTTGCTTGTGTTTATTTTTATTAAATTAAGAAAGTACTTATTATTTCTCTCCCCCTTTTCAAACCAGTTAGTCCTTGATCGTATAATTTGCCCCTCTGTGATGTAGTTGTATTCTTTATCCAACTCCATTTTGGCTTCCTCTAGTTCATTAAAATTTATTTCATTCGGCGCCTCTGAGCATTTTTCTTCTAGACTTTTAACTTTGTTTTCATATTCTTTTGTCTTCTCTTTACGATTTTTAGCTTGTTTCTTACTGTATTTAATTGAAAACTCTCTTATTTTAAATTTAACATAGTCCCAGATGAGGCCTGGATTTTTCCTTTTATATCTTCCATCCAATTCTTAATTTTTTCATTTATACTATTCACATACATTTCATCCTGTGTGAGACTCGCATTAAATTTCCAATGGGACGGACCGCGTCTAGTTTGCGTAAATTTTAATTTAAGGTGGACTGCGGAGTGGTCTGATTGAATACCTGGAATTATTTCTATTTTATCCACATCATTTTGTAGATTATCCCCAATCAAAATATAATCAAGTCTACTCTGTATAACATATGGCTTCCTTCTTCGCCATGTGAATCTTTTTTGGTTTGGATTATATAACCTCCAAATGTCTACCATGTTAAAATGTTCCATAATGTCATTTATGATATCAATAGATTTTTTCCAACTTTTAGGATTCCCTCCATCTCTATCCCAACTAATATCAAGGACACAGTTTAAATCACCTCCCCAGATAATTGCACTTTCAGGTTCAAATAAGTTGTTTAGTAGCAAGTGGCGAATTTCTGATACAAATTTACTGTGATCTATTTCTTGGTTTGGCGCATAAGTATTTAAAATTCTGTAAGGTTTTTCATCAATCACGGCATGGAGCAGAACATACCTTCCATTTGGATCATGTACGCATTTCTTAATAGATAAATTTAGATTCCTGGCTATCACCATAACACCCCTGCTGGACCCTGTTCCATGGGCAAACCAGCATTGCCCTTTAAATTGCATGGACCAAAACATTTTGTCCTTCGGTACACTATGTGTTTCTTGTAGGAAAATCAGATTAGCTTTTTTTCTGTTTAACCAAATAGACATTTTTTTCCTTTTGTTATACTCTCATAATCCCCTAGCATTAAATGTTAGTACATTAATTTCCATATATTAACATGTATATTGTACATTACACCTCGTTTGCAGTGTCCCACCATCTGTTTACCCTTTGCCCATTTTATGACCATAACAAAATTAAATAAGGAGTAATAAAAACACAAAATGAATATTGAAATAACAAACAGGAAGGCACATCCTGACATACTACTACCCAAAACACAGAAAGGATAAGGGGGAGTCGCAATCAGGTGCCAACCAACTCCACAAACAATTTGATTTCGATTTGTTCAGTTTAGAGTCTCCTCAACTGGGCAGTCTCAAGTCCTGTACCGTTAATTACCGATATATACATATGGAAAGAGAGTACCTTTACTTAAATGTCTTTGACTGTCATGGGTTGAAGCTTTCCTTGGGCGTCTTCGACCATTAATGTGGCTGGGATCCTCCATGCTACGAAGCAGGTTTTATCAGGATTTTTAGCTTTGAATAACTTTTTGTACTCAACCAGCCGCCTACGTTCAGCTTGTACCACAGCGCTCACATCATCAGTTACAAAAATGTGATTTCCCTTGTATGGGTGGTTTCGCAATTTTCGTGGTGCCGCCATTAGTATGTTCCTTGCTTCTCCTGCACTTACGAAGGCTACCTTTATGGGTCGGTTTCTTGCTACGTTTCTTCTCGTTGCATCCAAAAATGGCGGGTCTCTGTGTGCCCTCTGTATTGCTACATTTGCCGCCTCTTCAATTCCCATGTGCTTCACTATAAATTTACGTATAAAGTCCACACTTCCGTTGCTTCCTTTTCCCGCTCCTTCTGGTATATTTCTGAAGTTTATGTTGACTCTTCTTCCTCGATTTTCCTGATTGTCTTGTTTCCATTTCATCTTCTTTATTTCTATTTCAGTTTCCTTGAGTTGTTGTCTTAGTTCCATCACTTCTGTTTTCATAGCGGCGTCTTTCATCCCTTCTTCTATTTTCTCGTGCGCGTTTTCAACTGATTTCTCGATATCCGAAACTTTCCCTTCTATTTCTTCAATCTTCCGAGCTAATGGCTCTATCTTTTCTACCTCTGATTTAATTTCGAATATCTTTTTCAAAATAATCGTTACTTTTTGATCAGTGGGTAGGTCCAACATCACATCAATGTCGCCTGTCTGTCCGCCATCTTTATCTTTTTCCCGGTCAGGTGTGTTCCTTCTCGTTGTTCTCCCCGTTGCTTGTATCATCTGATCGAGTTTTCTCTCTTTCCCTTTGCTGCTAGACCTGTTACTCGCCATACTGCATTCAAACTTTGATGTTGGAGAGATATTCCTGTATAATTATTCAATTCTTGTGGAGCCGATCGGCTTCGATAACTCATTCACTCGCGCATGCGCACCTCCCTCTATTTGGGTATTATTTGCGCTGTCAAGACAAAGTTCAGGCTAATAAAATAAGATTGACGACGTTTTCCCTGAAGAAAAAAGTGAATTATTTGTTGAAAAAAGCGGAGAAAAATTGATACGCAAAAATCGTGACGTCAACTCTACGCATGCAATGCAGCGTCATGGAAATTGTCTACAGTACACGTACACGCATCTTTCGATGACGTAGATTATTTTGCCAGCCAGCCCAGGACGTCGTACAGATATTGTGCTGAAGGTAAGAGCCTTTGCCCTTTTCCACAAATTTTAATATATTCTTAACAATTGCTTTACCTCTAAAACTCTGCACACCATGCTATGATCATTCAGTGTTTTGTACTAAACGACTCATCGCTTAACAAGGGCGATTTTCAGGATTTATTGGCATGTCATGAATCAGGGAATCTAATGGCCAAAAATAAATATTGCATCGTATATAAATGATGACAGCGATTTACTCGGCCTATGGCCTGTGAACTCATATGATGTGTGTGCACGGTGCGACGAGTAACAATTACCAAACCTACCGGTCCTTCACGGCCACAGTTGTCACGATGCCTCTCAATAAAATAGCATCTAAAACCAAATAAGGCCGATATGTGTAAATACTTGTACATTAATCGTCTAGTCTATGCAGCCAGCAATAATGAAATTGCAAGAATGGCATTGGCAAAATGATGACCTCGGATGTAGCCATGTCTAGGGGCATGGATATGATTACAGTCTTTGCACATTAATGTAATGTTATAGTGTATATGAAGTATGTGTCATGATTAATCTTCATGATCATTTGTGACCACA